AAGATTCTCCCTTTTATGTTCTTGGCCAATACATGACTGAGATGCCACCAATATCACAGTTACAGTGCATTAGGTATATTCAAGGACTCAGATCCTTTGACAAGTAATTGGTTCCTGGTCCAGGGTGACGGAGTCATGAGTTACATGCAGCAGGTCATCTTTAGCTCTGAATGATCTCAGGTTTCTTTGAAGAGTTTCTCTACTGCCCCATAGTTTTTGGTCTTTATATATGGTGCCTGCTGTCTCATCTGCTGGTGAAACAACTCTGAGTCATGGAATTCGTCTGTTAGCATCACTTTCAGTTTTTCTCACTCGGTCTCAGGTGACCCTCAATCATCCGTGATTCCATTGCACTGAGATTGATTCTCAGGGACAATGCCCAAATTGCCATTCTCGGTGCACCAAACGTTACTGAACTTCTTGAGTTTGCAGCTATAGAGAGATTGAAATCATGTCCCTTCTCAACATTAGTAAAAGTCTTAAGTCCATCTCTCTTCAATGACTAACTTTTCCACTTGGCTATGAGAACTTCTACAAGCAAAAAAGTCATTATTTAAACAAGAAGCATTTCTTTAAACTCGATTACACAACAATTCAAGTAAGAATAATACACACGTTAACAGAAAACAGAAGCCTCTGCAATAATATCCTGTGGCCATGATATCAAAATTTCTCCTTCCAACCTCCGATAGAAGTTTAGAAGAATTCAAAGGAGTAATTAGATAGCTGCTTATTCAGAATGAAATAAGTAAACTACAAATAGTAGGCATTTTAACTTTAACTTAAAAAGTCACATTGCCATGCACTGTACACAAAAGCATGTAGGAAGTAAAATCGCTTCCCAAATTATGGCGGAAAAAGGCAATTGTTATATATGTGAAAAATATGGACATTACAGCCGATATTGTGATGAATCAACAGATAATAATAAACCAAGGAGGTGATACCTTAAGGATAAGTCCCAAAGTTCAATCAGATCAAAGGAACAACAAAGAGCCAGACCTTGGAAAATAAGAATTAACTGGATGTAAAGCTCAAATGAGAATGCTCCACCTGCCTCAGCTGATATAAGGAGTTCATTACTTAAAGAAACCAACCCACAATCAATGAATACATTCATGACAAGCCTTGCAACATTTTTATTAATACTGTTTATATAGATACCGATGTATAACTAACTGGTAGGGGAAGGTAAAAATTCGTCCCCAGAGATGGAGCAAGAGGGTGTACTGTTCTGAACAGCAAATAATCATAATGCTCCAGCAAGAGGAAAGATGAAATCCACCAGAATTGAATGCCATCATCAGGGCTATGAACAACACAAACCATACACACAATTCAAATACAAGTAGTATTTCCACATGAAAGAATGTAGGAAGTAGTCACCCAAGAAACAAGATTTAAGATATCTGATGTGAAATCTCCACATAAGGGGAGCTTACAACCTCATTTACAGAAGCTGTACAAGTATTACAACTGATCAATATCAAAGATTACATAATTTGTAGAGTACTAAGATACCTTCTTCAATGGACCTCATGATTTAGAATGGACAAATAAAATACCTCATAAGATCAATAATGGAGATTTAGCTCCACTGTGCAAGTTGCCAGATGACTTCCAGTTGCAAATCAGACTGAGACTCTGAAAGAAACAGAGCTCATGAAATAACAAGGAGTAACAAAACCAAGTACTAGTCCTTGGGGATCACCCATAGTACTTGTGGAGAAGATGAATGGAGCCACAAGGTTCTTTGTGGACTACCAGAATACAAATGAACTCACAAAGAAGTATACTTTGACTTTACTGTAGATGCTTTATTTGTTTCCAACTGGTTCTCTACATTAGATCTGAAGAGTGGTTACTGGCAAGTACAAATGGGAAAAAAGGCCGTCTATACTGAGAGAAATACATTATGACAATTTGATGTTTTACCATTTATAATATGTAATGCACTTGCTACATTTAATTAATACCTATTTGCTTTGATGTCATAATCACTCATGGAAAGACCTTCAGTGATATACTATAAATAGTACTGGATTAGTTGAGGAAGAGAACCTTAAGCTGAATCCTAAGAAGTAGGAATTATTTCATCAACAGGTGAGTTTCTTGGGACACATAATCAGTTGATTGAATCTGTTTAGATTTGGTAACCATCACAGAATTTGCACGAGGTAAGGGAATCTTTTAAACTGTGATCATACTGATGCCATTTTATAAAATCATTGTCTGACATAGTTCGTCCTCTAAAAAAGCTATTAGAAAACCCAACAAGTTTTGCTGAACTGCTGCTTGTGAACAAACATTCAACAAACTGAACAAAGAACTAATCGCTGTATCTTTATTATCATACCCAACTCTTGAAGACCCACTCATAATAGACGTAGATGCAAATATTTTGCAGTGGGAGGAATATTATCACAAGTACAATGTGGGCAATAAAATGTGATGAATGTTACAGAAAGAAGATATTGTACAACTTGAAAAGAACTACTAAATGCCGCTACTCTGAGTCACTTCAATCACTACTATACATCCATAGCCAATATTTTACACCCTAGACAAATCCTTCATTGTTGAAATTGTTAGATAGTAAGGTAGCTCAAACATCTCAGAAATACAACTTGCTAACGGTATCTGAATTTAATAGGTAAATTTGCCTTTTATGTTTAGTCGATAGCGTTACCTCACAATATTGGTCAGATGTTATATTTAATCAACGTATAATCGGCCAGCAAAGGATATTACATGGCCAATCCTTTTAATCCGGATGCTGTGTATTGCTACAATATCCTCTCTGGCAGAAGAGACATCGCCTACTAAACAGAAAAAAAGAAACGAATAAACTAAAACAAGGTAATCTTAAAGACTTTCTGAACCACATGCTGCTGCCATTACTGCACAATAAATAAATATATAAATAAAAATTTCTTAACCACTAAAGCGTTTGAAAAACATATGATATATCACAAGTGTTGCTTTGAAGTGTCTTGGAGTGTGATTTCGGAACTTGTTGCTATCCTAAACGCTGTGTTCTGCGAGATTTCTGCTATTTTGGAGACCATCGAAGGCACCATTCTTCGAAACGCAGTAATTGCTTTGTACGTCTCCCCAGTGGTTCAGCAGTAAGTGTGAAGACTTATAACGCAAAAAAGAAAACTGTGGCTGGCATAGCACAAATAGTCCAATATATAGCTTTGTGCTTAACACCAAAACAAACAAATAAATCTTCTAAACGATGTGTTTGTAGATTTACATTATTTAATAATCTCCATTTGCGAAATCATTCCCAAGAAGGTGCTATCTGTGCTGTACCTATCAAAGGTATCGAAACTAAATTTTTACGTATAAGCTCTCAAGCTTACCATTGAGTCATTGCAGACTTAAATGTGATTAATCAACGTGTCTTTCCCTATTGATATTTTGAACAGAAATGTTTGCAATGATTTCTCCAACCTTTATTTAGAGCTATAAATATGTATGTTTGTTTGTAATCAAGCACAAAGCTACACAATGGGATATCTGTGCTGTGCCCACCACGGGTATCGAAATTTCATTATAAATATGTCGTATTTTTACTTAAACAAACAAACAGAAACATTTTGTTTTTTATAACTTTTTCATATGCTTATTATATTTGGGTGTCGATACTCATGGTGGGAATAACACAGAAAGCCCATTATGTAGTTTTGTGATTGATAAAAACAAACAAAATTATAAATATACATTTTCAGGAAATTATAAATCGTGAAGTTAAAAATCTTTAATAACTATTATTATATTTCGTTTATAAAAACTTATACTAATATTACACCAGCCATAAACAAATATTTGTGATCGTATCTCCTTCTCACTATTAAAAACACAAATATTGAAATTGCATTTTATATAAATGTCCTTGCAAGAATAAAATTTATCAGAATTTTTATTTATTTACTTATAATGTGAAATAGTAGATCGAAGCAAAGATATTTATTTCTTGAATAAATAAATTACAATAAACACGTTTGGTTGATTTTTCTTCTCATAATTTAGGTCTTGTTCATTTGAAAATCTTTTTGTTAGTGTCGTAAAATGGCTTATGTTACTGCGGGTGCTTGGTTGTTCGAAAAACGACCATTAAAACGAAATAAATTAGGTCCTCCTGATGTATATCCCCAAGATCCGAAACAAAAAGAGGTATGTTTGTTATTGTTTTAATGTTTTTGGATAAATAACTGGAATAAGCTTTGGAGTTCAACAACTGAAGCACTTAAGTTCATTTGTCAGTGTCACTGATAGTGATACTGGTAGTAACAAGCGTTTGTACAGTGCATAGTGGCAGTGTCACTGGCACTAACACTAACACAAAAGGACCCACATTCACTAGTTTATAGCTTTATATTTTTAATTGTTTTTTCCTAACGTAGTTAGTTTTATTTCAGTGGTATTGACCGTGTATCATAACTCAAATTACTGCTAAGACTAAGAGTACGATAGATACAAAGATAGTGTGAATCTTGTTTTAAAAGTTTCAAGAAAATTTAATGAATAGTGAGTGTCCAAAGAAATAGTAATACTAATAACGAATATACAGGTTTGGTGATTCTGATTTATTCTCTGTTTAGGCAAAAAAATTTAAGGGAGGCTAACGATTTTATTATTAAAAAAGTCTTTTGTACATTGAATTTTTTCCAGTCAATTTGAATAGTTTGAACATATTTATTAAGAATTAAATAAAATTTAACAAGTTAAAATATTTTGAGGAATTGTATTTGCTATTGGTATGAAACATGGTTAGAATGATCAGGCTTTATCGGTCAGTAGAAATACAATAACAGTAGTTGAAACTAAGATCTATTAAAGTGAAAGAAAGCCATTCAGCTCATTGAGGTTATCAATCACTCATTGACACTCCATATACCAAATTAATTGCAGCCTTCAGAACTAAAAACCACATATTATAATCTTCCTACTACTGTTCGGAGAAATCTGTTTGTTTTAGGGTCATTTCTTTGATCTGTACAAATCTGCTGAGAAAATAGAGGATTGGGGAGTTGGTGAGGGTATGCCTATTAATTTCTGTTACATATAAAATGTTATTTTTTCAGAACCGTTTTCATTGCAGCTTTTATAAAAATGATTTTAAATTTATTTATCCTAAGCGCAGCCTTGTTAGCTTGCCTTAGTTGTGATAATGCATTGGTTGGTAACACTTCTATTATATGTTAAAATAAACCATTCTGCAGTCACACAGTGTTTGTTATCTATTATTTTACTTTTATGAATATTGAGATCTTGGATCTAATACTGATGATTTCTGTGAGTGTGGAATTTGAATTATAACATCACTGACTATAAGGCCTGTTGTTATGCTCTTGATGGAAAATACACAGAGGTCTATATGATATACAACATAACTTTTGTGGATAGAAATAAACCAAATATTTAACAATATGACAGTGTTGGTTGTTCTTAGTTGTTACTGGAGCAATAAAATGTAATTCTAAAAGCCTTCAAGCATGTTTCATAAGGTTTTATAACTCAACAATGCTATTGCAGAAAATAAATAAACTATAGCATTATTCAGCAGTGTGTGAGTGATGCACAAAGCCACACTACATAATCTCTATGCATTACTATGTGTGTTAGTGCTGTTATAAATTGTTGTCAATTTTGTATTGCCGTATACTGGCTGAACTCTTCTTGACCAATGGCTGTTATTATATTGTGACTGTGAGCATAGAATGATATTATAAAAATGTACTACATGATTGATTATGCATAAATAAGCTGTGTGATTGTAATATATTCTTCATGAGGCCTAGGAATTATTTTTTGCAGTAACTACACTGACCCTAGAAAAAAAAGACCCTGACCCTAAAAGTTTTATATTTTTTCCAAAAGTGTTCAGAGAACATAATCTGATGTTTATATGCTTATTAATAAATGTCATTTTCACCTGTTATTTGCATGAGCAACATTCACAATGAACCTGTCCATGAAAAGCAGTTTTGGTGGAAACTTTGAATTATATCAGGCAAAAAGTCCATATCATAATGATTTTATTAATTACACTTAAAATATAGTGAATAATAGTTGTGTTTTTATTCTGTTCTTATTATGCTAATTTTTGGAAATAAGCCTTATTAGGAAATTTATGTTGCTTTTCAGTATTTGTATAAGTTCACATTTTTGTTTTCCCAAGGCATAGGTTTCAAAACTTTTTTTTTAACAGTATGCTTGTTTCAGTTTATTCACATGAACTGTATCCTTTTTTTGATAGATTAGAAGTTCAGTTGTTCTTATATAATATAAAACAAAAAAGGAACACCTTACAATCATTATATTGTTAAATTAGTGAATTTGAAAATTATCTTATTAATTTGAATTTTAGTTGTTTATATTAAAGATGCATAACTGAAATATGTAATATACTGTGTATGTAAATGCATGATAATTCTGTAAAGAACTATTAAATGTTATTAAGAAGAGGATTTAACATGATGTATGTAAACCAACTACAATTACTATTTCTCTAGTGTGTTTTAATCAAAGATACTTGGGAAACTGTGTACAAGTATTAGAAACAAGGACTTCAATCTATAGCCCATAGGAATTTTATTTCCAACAATGGAAGATGTATTATCCTTATGAAACGAAGGGTAATACAAAAATTAGTAATAAAAACCAAAATGAAACAGAAGTAGCCAAAAGTAAGATTAATATCATGTTGGAATAATACAGTGATTCTCAAATTTTTGAAGCTGGTGCACCTTAATTTTTTTACTTCCATGACGACCACCACACATATAGGGAAACGTGTACCACGGTGTCAGGAACACTGTACTGATTGATTAATTGAATGTTATTAATGAGTCTGTTGATTAATTAGTTATCAAATATCACTAACTGTCCAGCTTTATTCTTGTATAACATGGGGTAAATTGCATTAATGAAGTAACTTGTATGATCGGAGAATAAGAGCAATGCAGTCATTGGCTATATACAGAAATCCTTGATTGCTTTATACATGGATTCGGCCAGATACTTTATAAACTATTGATCAGGATCATGGAAGGAGGGAATCACATTATTGATAGTACAATGAAGATATTTCTTTTATGACTTTTGTCAAAGACATTCGCTGCTAACTGTAAGTAGGCTTAATGAGTATGGAAAGGATTTACGGCCTACTTTCCCCAAAAATATTATCATATTGGTTTTAGATTTGCCATATTATTCTAACATTAGTTTTTGAACTGTATATGATTTGTAGGACTAAAATAGTAATTCAGGTTCTGCTAATGCTTGAATTTAAGTTATAGAAATAATATAATTTTTTCACTAGGTATTGAACTGTTGCATCCTTATTAATGAATTGACATTTTAATATTGAATTTTTACATACAAGTAAATTGGTATAATTTGGTTATGTGTAGTTAAAAATACTTCAAATAAGCAGTTATGCAATAGAAATCTTAATGATTATGGTGGCCACACTGGCCTAAGATTTTCAGAGCTTTCAAATTTTGGCCATTTTCATCTCTAATATACTTAACTAATAAGTCAAAATAATTTATGGTAATTGAGTGTATTAAATCATCAAGAAACAATAATATATTAATAACAGAAATTTTCTTGACTTTGTTTATTAATCCAGTAAATTTCTCATCTTTCCAAGCTAAATGTTTTGCATTAGCTATAACATACTTGCTCTGTTTATACTTTTAGGATTGGGTTTCAATTCAATTGGAAAATTTTGAAATGCATTTTTTTCAGATTGTTCAACAAAACTTAATTATAATTTATTTTTCTTTTACATTGGATTGATCATGCTCTGTGGGGTTTGTATGTTGGGCTATGAATAGGAGGGTGTATGGTTCACATCCTGTTGCTGTAAAATTCCACTATATGATTAGAGTAGCCCAAGAGTTGATGATGAGTTCTGTTGACTAATTGCCTTCCCTCTAGTTTATCAATTCAAGATTAGGACAGTTAGTGCAGATGGCCCTTGTGTTTCTATGAACAGATATCTGAAACAAACAAGCAAGCAGTCTTTTACACTTTCTCTTTCACAATTTACAACAGTTTTCTAAAATCAAGAACAAAACTTTCTGTAGCTCTACATCTAGTTTTACAATAATCAAGATGTTGATGCTATTGATTCCTACTACTCAGATGCATTTGCACCACAACGTTTCTGTTACGTCTTCAATATTAATATACTTGGTCTACATAGCACCATTTTTAGTAGTATTTTTAGCATACAGAGTGAAAAACAATTCTATACAACCTCAAGAAATTCTTTAACCTTAGGTATGAAGATGGACTTTTAAAACTAAGACTTCTAAAATAAAGGACTTTTGTATTAATGAACTTATTTTTATAGTTAACTTCATTAATCTGCCTGTAAATATTTCTATCAGTTTCAACAACCTGAACAGGAGACTAATATGTCACACACATTACAATTTATAATGCTTCAATAGCTACAGTGTCCTTTACCATAATACACCACTATTTTTTCATGCAAAACATAAATCTTTTCTAAATTTCTATATCCCCAGTGCATTATGTCACATAATGTGTTAATATAGGAACTCATTTCCTGTGTTATTGCACACTTATGAAGAGTGTCTAGATTATTGTGAACTAATAATATCCTTGAATAGGATTTTCCCAACTTATGCCATTATCAATGAATTTGGACATAATAATGTCCCAAGAACTATGAAATTATAACAAGAATTTCTAAACAGAATCTTGAGGAACTTGTGAAATTATATAAATTGAAAAAATTCCCATTTATCACAGCTGTGAACTTCATAACAAATTTTTATTGATTTTTTGTAACTTTCCTACTATTTTTCTTAGAATCTGCCTTGGTGATTAAACTTGTGAATCGTTTTTACTTATCAAGAGCTTTGTTAAAGTTAATCTACATATATGTGGGTCCTCTTATTCAAAATAATCAGGACCCTGATAAAACACTAAAAAACTTTTAAGGTAGAAAAAGCCTTTATTAAAATCATGCAAACATTACTTAGTAAACAAGAACTTTCACTATGCTTTTCTGAATTATATCTCCCAATAGAAATCATACAAGTAACCCCATAATTTTCTGTCATTTTTTGAATTTTTTTAATGTCAGGTCCACAATAGCAATCTTTCATTCAACAAGACTTCAGAGACTTCTTCACCATCACTTTTTTTTTCATATTTTTCAGGATTTTAGTTATTTTTTTAAGGTCAGTAAGCTTTATGCTCATGAGTTTCCATGGTCTATAATAATTAATCGTATTGCAACCAACCATGTATGTAACTGTCTTACTTGCCAACATTTTATGACCATACAGTCCATCATCATCAGGACAATTATAAAGTTAATGAAATGAGTGTAAATAAGAAAAATCAGCTACCTATACATATAGTGTCAGTGCGAATAATTATGACAGAATTAGCAGTATTTGACTGATTATTCTCCAGAAGTACATTAAAAACCAACACAAACAACCTGTATGTACTGGCTGGAATCATCATGCCAGACATCAGGAGAGCAGAGCAAACTTGGTAGACACTCTGTACGGCCATGTGGAAATAAAGAAGCATCTAATATCACAGAATAGTTGCGGTGGCTCAACTGCACCACTGGACACTACAGCATAGACCAAACATGAAGAACTATTGAGACTTCTCCTCCAAGAGCTTCCACATACAAACATGGGCATCACACCAGCTGAGCATCTCCCCAGAGGAGCGGAAATGGGCTGGAGCACCTGGAAAGCCCTCAATCACCTATTTTTCCATGTCAGCAGGTCTAGGGCCAACATGGTGAAAGGGGGGTATTCTAGTAGACCCGCTGCCTGTGACTGCAGTGAGAGGCAGGTGATGCAACATCTACTCGTCTGCTTACGACTCCAGGTACTGTATACAGCAGAAAATGTCACTATAGCCGGTGAATCTGCAAACAGTTATGTGGCACTGGATGGAAACCGTATATAGATAGGTGGACACAGCAAGAAGATGATGATGAAGTACATTAAAGTTGCCAGAGCTTTTTCAAACAACATAAATAGAATTTAAGTATAACCATTCCCTCATTTTTAATTGATCAGATAGATGCAATATCCTTCTTTTTTTCACTTGTAAAAATACTCATTAAAAAAGTCGTGATCCCCCCCTCATAGTAAAGGTTTCAATAGAATCTTTCTGTCTGGTTGTTCAAATTGTCTCATTAAAGGTATGTTTTATCTCTCGTGTGTGTGTGTGTGTGTGTATATATATATATATATGTGTGTGTGTGTGTTTATATGTTTTTAAAAATAATTTGTAAAAGCTTCACCAAATTCCATTAATACTGGCTTATTGTCATAACTATCCAAATTTGGTTCCATGCAAGTCTGACCTGTAACACACACAAAATTTTAAGTCTCCAGAAGTACAAAATATGTGATGTGCTATTCCTGAAATGGAATATGTGATCATTAAAAGTTATAATTATTTTTCACAAATAATTTAAGATTAGTTAGGAGTAGTTTTAAATAAAGATTATTTCTTGTTTCATGCTCTGATATGAATTGCTGTACAAAAACTATAATAATTTTATAGAATTATATTAATTTTTGATGTCTCCAAAAGCTATATTTTAGTTTGCTGTTGTAACAGATACTTCAATTATTGTTGTAAACTAATATATAGTTTTCTATTCTTCATCCAGGATGAACTCACAGCAGTCAATGTAAAACAAGGCTTTGCGATCAATGCACCTTTGCAGGATGAAGTAAGTTATTTAAAACAATGATCTTTCTTTAATAATGTTAATGTTTTGAATTTAAAAAAATATTTTGTTAAGATTTGAGACTCAACCAAGCAAACAAAACTGAAGTTTTTAATACTATGCAGCTTGATGCCTTTTAGAAACTTATAACTTCAGAGTATTTAATTGAAACAACTAATGTTATGAAAAGTACACACTATAGCATAATATAATTGACAGAACAAGTATTATATTCATTACACTTCACTATAAGCATAAAGAGTGAAATTATAAATCACTAGGAATGTCTTGAAAATTAACTGATATTCATTTCATGAAATGTACAATTACATGTAATGCAGTACATTTTCTAATTGTGCATGAAAATAAAATCTTGTTGATATTAAAATTAGGGATAAAACTGATAATGAACTTTCAAACACGTTTTTAAATAAAATTTCTTGCACACTTCTTTGCTATAGCTGGTATACTGGAACTGAAGGCTTGGTAGATGATGAGTAATGTTGATTTTATTAATTACATACTCTAAATAAAAATGAGCATAATTTATTTTCTATTTATTAAATTAAGTGATAGTAAGTGTATATTATTATATACATATTAAATCTTGATTTATTTAGTATGTTCATGTTTTATCAAAAGTAATTGTACTTGAAAAAAAAATAGTTACAGCCTAAATCACTGTGTGTTTGAGCATATTTGTAGATCAGTGTTAAACTTTAAGTAAATACGTGTATTAAAGTGTGGCACTGAAGAAAGGGTATTTCAATCCTCAAGCATTTTGTACATCTTGAATTGCTTGTAGTTTTTATGGAGGAAAATGTTTGTAACATGTTAATCACAAATTAGAAATTGTGATAGGAAATGACATTCAATAATTACCACATGTATATAAACTTCATCTGATTTCTTAAGGCTTTAATTCTTTCCTTTTTCAGTTTGGCTCAGCAAGAAATGCCAATATTACAGCAGCAAAGGTAAATATCTGGTTGTATTTGGGATAAGTTTTCTATTACGTTAACTGAAACAAGAAAAGACGTATATCATGTTTATGCACAGTAATTCAGAGAGGATTTACCAATCATCTAACATCTGATGATGATAAAAAATATGTAATGTTCTTACATAGTTGTGTTTTTAATGTCATAAATTTTGCTCCTTAACAGACTAAGACACATTATTAGGCATATGAACAGTACAATAGGTATATCTCTTTTAGAAAAGAAGATAAAATGATGTTTGAATATATTATTGTGAAATTGTTATTTTTCTCCTCATTCTTTTACTTCTTAAATTGAATTAAAGTTGGCATTTTTCTAATACGAGGAAACATAAATATTACTGGTTTTCACTCCTTGAATATTTGAAGATGTTTCAAAATTTTAGGACATATGAAAATGGTAGTAAATACGAGTATTGATTACATAAGTGTAGATTTCATGTAGAAAGGAGAGCAGATGGTAATATTTGTAAGATAATTTTTTGTAACTCTAAAATTGTAGCTGTAAATAGTATTACTTAATTAAATAATTATACTTTTTGAAATTATGTATTAAGAGGAGGCTGTTGCCCTTAATCTTGTATCAGTGTAAGTGTGTATCATTTATAATCAGCATACAAAAAATTGACAAAATTATTGTAGAAAATGCGATACTACTTATAAAAAGAATAGTTTTGAATGATCTAATTTTAAAAGTTTCTGTTTTTTCTTTTCAGTTTGGAGCTTTTTTCAGTGCTATTCTTGCCAAGAAACAAGAACTTAATACTTTCCATGACTCTGGGCGTAAGAAGCAACAAATTAATCCAAAAGATAACTTTTGGCCGGTACATTTTTACCATTTTCAAATTAGCTATCTAAGTTTAAGAAATAACATGTATGTGGTAAATTAAGTACTATTACTAAATAAGAGAAAGTTTATTGTACAAGCTACTTGTTTTGTACAGTTATTTATAAAAATGATTTTAGTTTGCTTTATATTTTTACTTTGTGAGTGATCTTAAGGTTTTTCAAAGCTGAACTGAACATAGCACTTTAAAAGGTGTTATTTTGGCTTATTTAAGAAATCATTTTATACCTTGATTTAAAAAAAATATAAAGTGATAATTCTGTTGTAGAAGAGAATGTGGTTTATAACAAGTTTTAGCCATTTTTGAAAGTGCTTTTTGTTTAGATAAATATTTTTCTGATATATTCATTAAATATAAAATTTATACTAATTTGTAAAACTATTCTGTTAAGATGACTGACATTTTCTTTTACAAAACTACTTACAATTTCCAAAGAAATAAACTTGAAAAAATAATCTTGTTTCGATTAACATTGAAATTTTTAAATTGTAACAGACCTGGAATCCTTTTGAATATTCCCATAATAACCCCTCACAATTTTAGTTATTTTCTTTATAAAAATTTCTATATGGCATAGTTTGAATATCCAACTTACCACTTGTATGTGCAAACCTAAACATTGTCTAGTTTCCTGGCAATGTTGCAGTTTTCAAAACAAATTAAATAGAAACCCATTAAAGAATGCTTCCATCTTTCTTTGTGGCCTGGCACGGCCAGGTGGTTAGGGCACTTGACTCTCCATCTGAGGGTCAGCCATGGGGGCATTATAATGTGATAGTCAATTCCACTATTCATTGGTAAAAGAGTAGCCCAAAAGTTGGTGGTGGGTGGTGGTGATGACTAGCTGCTTTCCTTCTAGTCTTTCACTGCTAAATTAGGGATGGCTAGCACAGATAGCCCTTGTGTAGAAACTCAAAACAAACCAAATTTTCTTTAGTTTGGTCAACTCTAAAATAAAAATTTGATGAGTTTGAAAATTTTTAGATGTTTTCAAACATCACAGCTTATCAAATGGATGAATAATGTCCTTTTATCATGTAAAATGGTTAAGTGCTGTAGACTTTAACTTTTATTTGTAGTCTTCTATTTATCAAAATATAAACTTCTACATCAAGCTATGTTTGTGCATGTAAAGTAAGTAAAAAAACTAAATTTAAAACATTTACTGTTTGTGAGAATTTTTAAGATTTAATCTTTTTTCTTTAAATATATGTTTTGTTATTAGTCTGAGTGTTGTTTACAAGTAAGTTATGCGGGATGCAGTAATAATCGTGCTGTGTTATTTGTTAGGTGACACCGAGATCCAAGAATGCCATTGAGGCATGGTTCAAAGATTTGGCTGGGTCTAAACCTCTTACAAGTTTGGCAAAAAAGGTAGGTTTGTGTGCAAGAATGATGCTGTACTAAGGTTAATCTTATGTAAATCTTAATGACTGTCTTGATTTGTATATCTTAAATACCATTAATTTTTTAACAGCATCAAATTTAGTTCAACTTAACTGTAGCTATAATTAAACTTGCTCCCATTATTACCGTAGGTACCAATATTTATCAAGAAAGAAGAGATTTTCATGAACCTCTATGAGAATGCTGTGCCAATGGTACGAGCAACTTGGTTTATAAAGATGACATCGGCTTACACTGTTGCCATATCTGAAGCCAAAATGAAGAAGCGTCAGCTTCCTGATCCGTCTCAAGGTTTGGTTTTTTACAGATTCTTCCTTCATACTGAATTACAATTGGTTTAGCAGTGAATGCTATATGAAGTGAAAAGAACATTATTATAAAATATTCATTATACGTGCTTGTATGGGAAAAAGGAAAGATGCTATGGTAAAATATTAATCTACTCAAATGAAATATAGTGTGTAAGTAATACTTTAGTTGAATATTAGTATTGTATTCTATAGAAAAAAATCTGAAACATTAAAGAAACAACTTATTTACAGCAGCCATGTTAGATCAATATTGTTTAGTCAGTATTTCATGCATTTGTACAACTACTAGTGTACAGCCCATCAGAAATGACAGCACAAGTACTATCACCCCCACCCCATAATATACCCTAAACTCACATTTCATAGCTAACTGAAATAGATACAATTTACAAAATCAAGCTTGACCAACAAAGAGGCAGAAAGGTGCAATCAAGGCAGTCAAACATTGGTAAATTCCTTTGTGAGCCAATCAAAATTGAGATCATTCATGAAGTGAAATCGTGGCATATTCATAGAATAATTATTGGAAAAATCAGTTAGGTTAACAACTTCTAATA